ATTAAAAAATAAATAGAACAGATACATTGCAAAAATATGGCATAGGGAGAATTTGCAATAATGGTGAGACTGAGAGAGGGGCAAGGAGGTACATAGGGGCAGTGAAGACATGATTTAAAATGAAGAAAAAGTGCTCTTATTAATGGGACATATAAAACATCATAGAAGAATACAAGAAAATAGGTATTTTAGTGAAGGGATTCAGGGAAACCGGTTATTTTCATATAGTCGGACTTGAGTTCTGGAAATGGGAAGTACAATGCCTGCACTTTAAAGGAGGGGTTTGGGATATTGGCAGTTTGGAGGGATATGTTGTGTATCTTTATACGTATATGCTTCTAAACTGTTGTATTCTGAGCACCTCTGCAAAAGCAGTGATAATGTGTGAGTGTGGTGAAAGTGTTGCATGATGATGAAAGTATTTTCTTTTTGTGGATTTTCTTTCTTTTTTGGGTCATCCTGTCTCGGTGGGAGACAGCCGACTTGTTGAAAAAAAAAATAATAAAAACAAGAAGTCTGAACTGTAAACTTTAAAGAGTACTAGACAATATTTATTAACAGATTGGCATTTAGTCTGAATAAAATTCAGGAGGAGGTTGTTCGTGCTACAACTTTTGTAAACTTTTTAATTATAGAATTATATGGCAAACCAAACACCCAAGATGGGACACTACAAGAATAGTTTTGGTCCTGTAGTTACAAGTAGATAATTATATCAACATACACAATACATATTCATACACACACTGTATACTCATGCATGCATACATATGTACATATACATGTTTTGCATAGAAATGGTGAGGTAATAGGTATAGTCAAGAAGTGGTTTGATATGTGCTTTCATGTTTAAACAGTGAAAATTATTGTGCATTTTAAGTTTCATATTCATATCTTTAGTTTTTCAGTACATTTTTGACCTCTGTGTGCATACATCACAAGTGAGTGTTCATTATATTAGGTTGAAAAAAGTTGTCATTTTAGGACACTTATCAAAACAAAAGTACTCTAGTATAAAGATGAGAGGTTAATTACTGGAGTGTATATTGCCCTCCCTGCCAGCTTGATGGTCACTAAGGAGTTAATGCATTGCCCCCCTTTAGGAAAGTTTATGTCTGCACGACCTCTAATGCTCGTTTTCTTTTCCCTTTTAGTATGCTCACTAGAAAGCCTGCCATGTCCTCCTAGCATACTTTGTAATATTTTAGAATATCAAAGTAAGTGTAGGTCCAGTTGTTCCATAGTTACTTGGTTACTCAAGTCTGCATGCTTGCTGTTAGCTTTTTTAATTTGTATGATTGTCTTACAACCTATGGAACACTGGTCTTGTAATATTTTTAAAAACATTAATCATTTCTATTTGCATTTTGCATTTGGTATATCCTGTAAAAATGATGTGATTTTTTTTTTTAAAGAAGTGCCTGGGTTTGTATTAGATTTAAAGAGGGTCAAGAACTTAGAAAAAGTCAGCTTCCATTTGGAAATGCGCAAGATAAAAAATTAATGAAGATCTAAAAAAAAATCAAAGCTGCATGTTAAAAAAAAGAGATAACACCACCCTCTTATTATAGGGTTTATGCATTATTTAGTCTGAGCTGTGATACACCTAAACCACTCAGTGTAAAAGAAAGATTACATATCAGCTCAGCTGATTTGATTTCATTGCGTTGAAAATTTTGTTCTGAGAAGAGCCTTAAATGATGTGTGTTAAGTGCAAGTAATTTTGAATTTATTTCCTCAGTACACACTGAGTTCGTTGTCTGAGGTTATTGTATGTTTGTCGTAAGTTCTCAGGTAGCTATAAATTAGTAAAAACCTTGATATTATGGGATTACTTTAATGACCATCATATGTACATGTATTATGAAACCCCATCGTTTTTGGTTGTAAAACTGCAATACAGTATACAATAAAAATATAAAAAAATCATTGGTGATCCACTTAAGTGGTATAAACCTTGGTAATAAATACCGACAAGTTGGTTTAGAAAGACACGTAAGCAAACACTATAACATATTTATTAGAAAACGTTTCGGTCCTGGGACCTTGATCACTTCTAGAAGTGATCAAGGTCCCAGGACCGAAACGTTTTCTAATAAATATGTTATAGTGTTTGCTTATGTGTCTTTCTAAACCATCCACTTAAGTGCCTGCAACAGCTCCACTCACAATACTTAAGAAAATGTATAGCTGGTTGAATTTAACTTTTTTTTTTTTCTGAGGGGGGTGTCTTGTGCATGAGACACTCACTAAATGAGTAGATACTTTATTGGATGGCAATACTGTATGCACATGCAAAATTAAGAAAAATATAAGTTAAAGTACTATAGAGTTGGGCAGCATTACATTATATAAAAAAGATTTTCTGATTTGGCTTCCAGTGTTTTTAAATTCCATGCGTCTTGGGCATTTTCCAGGTGGCATGGTTTAAGAACCTTGTCAATAAACAATTTAAATAAATCTAGTCACTGGTCTGGTTGGTTTGATGGAAGGTGGCAATTTGCACTGCAAACAATGCTCATAAGTCCATGTAAGGACTGAATACTGAACCCTTGGTGTGCTAGTGAAAACATGCTAATTTTATCCAGTTTATTTAGTTCTATTTATAATGGCTTTGCAGTTAATCTTTGCTCAAGATCATAATTTTGCATTTAATCTCTACTGTATGCAAAACACAGTACTGTACTTGATAAAGTATGCAGTGAACTGAGAAACAACGAGTTCAGTGCCTAATAAGTACAGTAGTATTACTTTATGCATTGATTGTATCTGCATTGTTCTGCCATACTTTTCATGACTTTCCAAATAAGGAAAATAGTAATAATATGATTACAAATAATGATGAGAAAATGAAAGAGAACGAGTATTATCCTGATTAACTGAGTGACTCATGCCACTTATGCAGACTACACAATGAACAATGATGCAGCAAACAGTGATCTAGCAAACAACCATATTCTGCTTTCTACTCTTCATGATGTATTTGGAAGAGAACTACCACCACCATCATTGTGTTATTTATATGTATATTCTCTGGAAACCCTTATGTGGAAGCTCCAAAAAATTGTTATATCTGGAAAGCTTTAGACCCTGTTATGTTCAAATCATCAGTGCACAACTAATGTATCCCTGTAAATGTACTGATAATCAAGAAAGTTTTCAGTTTACCTTACACAAAGTTCTCTTGATTTAGTGAATTGAACCTGACCTGACCCCTCCTTGGATTGGACATGATTGCCTTCCATTCCCCAGGCCTTGTGTCACCCAGGCTATGGATTAATGATTCTGCTTCAGTGCAGTAACAATAATATTCACAAAGCTGACTTTTTTAAAATATGAAGAGGCCAGACATTTAAAAACTTGTGCATTTTGTATCAACACAGCTTGTCAGCATTTTACTTATGATTTACTTTTTTTTTTTTAATAAGATGATCTGATTATAGAATTGGTTTGAGCTTTGTGCAAAGCTTGCCACATCAACATTTAATCTAGAGTAACTGAGAACAGAGTAAGATTGACAGGAGCAGTGAAGGAGTTCAGTGCTTGGGATGGAATAAGAATATCCCTTGTAAGACATTCGCATGCAAGTATGCCTCACATTAATTGGTATATTCTCGAAAGCATGATGCAATTTTTTAGTTAAATATGAGCATTGGTTTTCCATGAAACACTTGTGCTCTGTACCAATTACACTTCTTGCTCTTCAGAGTTGGTATAGCATCAAGTACATAAACTGAAAAGTTAATATGGCAATGCACAGTTTGTAAGTAAAAATTATTCAAACATATTCAAGTATAGTTTTTTCAATTAATCGTCTTGTAATTATGAAAGGATTCTTAACTATCAAAAACAGACAGGCCCCACCACCGGCTACAGCAGCCTTGCTGTGTGTTTACAATAACAATGAATGATGGTGTCATTTTCTTTCATTGCTCATGAGTTGACACTTATAAATTCACTTTCTATACAGAGCCATTGTTGCTGTGAGCTGACTACACAGACTTTGCTTCAATTTATCTTTTGATAATGCAATTATGCTCAGTGACAAGTTGCACAGTGCTGCTGATGAGTAGTATTTTTTTTTTTTTTTTTTAACTTGATGGCCATCCCCGCCATTTTTATTTGTTATTACGTATTGTTTTCATTACATAAATGGGAAGCACTAAACCCATGAGGGTCATATGATGCTTGGGGAAATAGGATGGTAATTAGGTTTGATCTGTAGGAAAGGGAGGGTTGCTCCAATTCCTTGGATCAACAGCCCTTCACCAGCATCAAGACATCTCTTTGAAGGGTGATAAGTAGAGAAATGGTTAATGGCTCATCTCAGTTGTGGCTTATGCTGAGACTGTATACTTTTTCTTCTTAAAATGATGATTTTTTGAAGAATGGGACCCTGCTACTTATGTTTTGTTTTTCATAGATGTAATGTATCATTATTAATGTTTGTCATGCGATGCACTGCATGTGGTTTAGTATGCTCATAGTTGTGGAACTTGACTAAGTGTTTGTGTAGAAAATACACACAAGATTTTGTTAGTATAGAAACTGAAGTTGCAGTGTTTTCCATTATATCTATACTGTACACAGCATTGACATAACACTTGTTCATATTATTTATGTCAGTAGTTTTTTTTTTTTTTTGAGTTCTTGCAGTTTATTATACAATTGGTGAAAAATATCTTGTAAAAGGCAGTGTTTTGATATAGGCATAGTAATACAGTGGCTAATTTCAAATTGAAAACTTTATTTGTTTAAATGTGTTTCATATGATGTTTTGAATCAAATAATGTTATCTAGTAAAGTTCTAACATAATTAAATCTAAAATAAACTTGTAATCATAAAAGATGAGTGTATATTAATTATCTGTGATCTTTCTAACATAAGTATTTGAAGGAGTAAAGAAGACTTTGTTGAATGGTTTCTGGAGTTGGCAGGAAATTTTATTCAAATTTTTATTTGATAATTTTAAATAAGTTAGCGAATGTTGCATTTGCAGTACCAGCCGATGGTGTAAAGGGCAAGACGTGGGGACCCAGCACAGCACATCAGAAGGAGCGAGGCCAAATCATTCCTCAACATAGCGACAACCAAAAACGATGGAGTAAGTCTGCGCCCAATCTTGAGAAAACCCTACGGCCCCTCCCATATACTGCCACTATGACGGGGCTCAACCAGATTACAGCTTATGGTCCGGAGATTGGTAAGTTTAGGAAGGGTAATTACAAAAAGACTCGAGCAGATGGCAATAAACAATGCAGTGACTGTCATATTGGATAACTCTTGACAGTTTAGTGAGAACTCTGATCATGCATCGGAACAAAATAGAACACACAAATTAGACATAAATGATTCAATGAATTATATTGTCATATATATTGTTGCATTGATATATGGACTATTGGGAAATACCACAGAAGCAGAAGAAATCTGGAAGAAGGAATGTACAACTTATACCATTCCTCTCTTGTTTCAAGCTGGCAATGGATATTACTACATGCCAGGTACAGTATTAAAAATTGTGATATGTATATCTTACAAGCTTTTCTCTTTTAGTTTGGGCTACAGTAGTTTTATGTTTTCTTTTGACAATACAATATTTGAAATGTAGTGCTTGATGAAGACTGTAAGAAGTGAATTTGACACTGAATTTCTAATGCAATAATAGTTTTTGTAGTGTTCCAGAGAAGCAGAGAAAGGGACCAAGGTATTATAGTTCAATAGCCATATTATGTACATTTATGTCGACTTCATAAGTTCTCCATTTGCATAAACCTATTGCTGTTCTATCCTGGAGAAGCTGCAGTCTCTCCTCACCCTTCACTCCTTCCTGGGTCTCTCTTCACCCTCCCCCTCCTTCCTGGGTCTCTCCTTCCCCTCCTTCCTGGGTCTCTCCTTGGCCTCCCCTCCTTCCTGAGTTTCTCCTTCCTCTCCCCCTCCCTCCTGGGTCTTTCCTTTCCCTCTTCCTCCTTCTTGGGTGTCTCTTCAACCCTCCCTCTCCTTTCTGGATCTTCTCAAGCCTCATTCTCTTCTCTCATCCTCTTGTCACTCTTGTCTCTTATCTTGCTGTCACTCTTTTGATTTGCCCTTCTACTTTCAATTTTGTTACTTGTAGGTTCATTATTGGTTTTGTCATTCTTTTAATGAAAGTTGATATAACTAATTTTATTTAAAATATAATTAAGGAAGAAAAAGATTCAAAACAAAACATTTAATGATTCAAACTCCTAGTATCTAGCTTCTCCATAAGTATCACTACAGGGTCTAGTTCTAAAAATGGATAGGTCAGAGCTAGATATAGTGATCTGTATTTAATTGCTATAATAAATAAGCACATTAATCAAACCCTCATTCAACACTTGTCAGCAGCTGAAACTACTAATCCTTTTTTCAGTTTGCCAGACTTGAGTGTTGTTGGTGGGAAATACTGTGCAATCACACAAATAGCCCTCCTCTGGCTATTGTGTGATTACATGAATGATGGTGAATGTATTATTTTAAAGTCACCCTGCTTTGGTGGGAGATGGTCAATGTGTTTTAAGAAAGAATCTAATGAATACCACATAAGGAACCACATTTACAAATGCCAACAAAAAATTTTCAATACAAATAATATACAGTTCCATTATTTCTTGTGCAGTTTGAAAGGTCATAAGCCAAGAAGTGATAACAGTTCTTTTATAAGTGTTTTTTTTTTTCATTGCAACATGGACACATACCTGGATACATCAGATACGAATGGAAAACTGTCACAATTTGGGGTCACCCTTTTCATTAATGACTCATTTGCACTGATGCCAGTGAATGGATCTGAGAATTGGAGCTATTTTTCTTTGGATTAAGCCTAATTGCCTCCCATTCTTCATGTGCTGTATAGACCTTATGGTTTTAGCACTTGCCCATTTAAAAAAAAAAAATTAATTCATGGAGAAGCTCTAAACATGTAATGGTTATATAGCCCCTGGGAAATGGGAGGCACTCAGGTTTGATCCAGGAAAAGAAAGGTTAAATTCAGTTTCTTAAAGCATGAGCTCCTCACTGGCATCAAGGCCAGTGAAGACCTATTTCACTCAAAGCAAAAAGTATGCTTGTGCCCCAACTCATGCTGAGGCAGCCTGGCCTAGAGCCCTGGCTGTGAGGGTAGAGAACTACTAAAAACTGGTCAAGTATGCAACATGTACATCAAAGGCCTACTATCAGTACATCATCTTTCAACAAACCTGATTATTACTTTCCCAAACACTAAGACCCCCTTGGGTTTTCAGTATTTTATCCATGAATAATAATAATTAAACACACAAGACTTAGGCTACAAATCAACCCTCGCATGAAAGGAACACTAATATCTCGAACTTCAACTCCCTGTAATAATAAGTTTTCATTACTTCTTAGTTATTTTTCATAGACATACAGTATCAAGATTTAAATGTTCCACAATTCTGTAAGTTTTCTGAAATTTTGGAAATCTGTATGCACCAAGGATATAGCACTTCGAAAGATGATACCCCACAATACTTTTTATTGGAAAATTGCCATCTACAAAGTCAGATAAATGCAAGAATCTCTCTTTAGGAAATTACACCAGTGTCAAAGAGTCTGAGACTGATCTAAAGAAGCATTGTCAAGTAATCACAAGAAAATCAGTATTACAGTTTGCTGACTAAAATTGGCAAACTCAATCCATTAACCCTTTCGGTGTCAGTCCCATTATATAATGGCTCTGAAGCCAGTGATCCTGTAGTACAACACCATGAGCTCAGCTCACTCGCATAAGCTGTGAGCTGTAAATTTGGCCTAGATATGCAGTAAGTGTGCACCATGCAAAAAATCCTGCAGCACGGAGTGCATAATGAAGAAAAAAATTGTGACCATGTTTTTGGTTAAAAACAGTGACTTTTGCAGTGTATTTTCATATGATTTTTATGGTTATATTCTTGGTTTCTTGGTCACATTTGATAGACTGGAACATCTATATCAGATATAGAGTTGATTTTGATTGGTTTCAGGAGTGAAAGTAGCTTGAAATTGAGTTCAAAGTAGTGGCAATGTTCAAGTTTTGCCGATATTCCAGAGTATTTGTCCAATACGTGTTCAGCTTGCCAGTCTAATGCACTGACATTATTTGTACAATCATTACAATACTGCAGTAGTCTGCATAACTGTAAATCTGATTTTTTGTGTGAATAAAAATTTGAAATGGAAAGTAAACGTAATGCAGGAGGGGCCTGCAGATGTGACTAAAGAACAGAGGAAATGTTTCTTTAGTGCCAGGAATGTCTACATTGTTTATTATGAATCCTGTTTTTAAATTGGCAATTTTTTAATTTTGTGTGAAATTGGCTAAATTGCCATTTTGATCACTAAGTAGTTGAAATAAGTAAATGGGTGGTTTCTTGTACTCAGTCAATGCAATAGAAAGAATACTAGCAAAAGAGCTATGAGTTTGGTTGACTGGAACAATGAAATTACCAAAAACAGGTTGTAGAATGGGTGAAATTGCTGATGCATATATATTACTGAGATTGCTAACTTTGCAAGAGCATAATTCCATAAGCTTTCCATCAAATTTCATACTTTTCTTTTAATTACCTTTGGAAAAAGATTCCCTATCATTTCATGGGATAAAATAACTCTTTTTGTTGTTGTTGAAAACTCTTCAACCCTGAGAGCAAGTTTGAGATCAGGTGTCTTGACCCAGAAAAGATTAACCCTTTCACTGGTTGTTACATAGAACTACATCACTTAGGCTAGGCTCTCTGACATAACTCTGCATTACAAGTTCAGCTTACTCGGATAAACTATGAGCGGTAAATTTTTGCCTAGATAAGAGAGAATGGGTCTGTTCAGTGAGTGTAAAAGAAAAGAAAATCCTGCTTCACATGGTGCATGATAGGAAACTACAAACCTATGACCATGTGTTTGATTTAAAATAACAAATTAGAGATGTTTTCTCAGATGGTTTTTTATGGTTTTATTGGCTGTTTTTTGGTATCATTGATAGAATGGAAAACATACTACTGAAGTAGAGATAATTTTAATTGGTTTCAGGACTGAAAGTAGCTTGAAATTAACCTCAAATTAGCAGATACTGTATATTCAATTTTTGAGCATTTTCCTGAGAATAGGTAAGGGTTCTCTGCCACTCCCTCTGGTCTGTTTTTCTTGGTTTTTACTGGTTCTGATTCAATTATTGGGACACCCTTAACCATGACCAATTATTCCTAGTTATATTTTATTATCTGAGAAATAAGGTAAACCTTTTATTTTTTTTATTTTTTTTTTTGTGCAATGAATTCAAAATGGAGGGCAAGGGTAATACAGGAGAGACCTGATGATGTAATTGATGAACAGATAAAATGTTCCTTTTGCGGCTGGAATGCCTATAGTATTTATTTGGGACTTTTGTTTTTAAATTGCGATTTTTTAGTTTTATGTAAAATTGACCAAATAACTGAATTCTGTGGACTTCATACAGTAGTTATGATAGTTGGACGGGAAGTTTCTTGTGCTCAGTCTATAGAACGCAAGGTATACTAGTGAAATAGCTAAGAATTTCGTCAAATTGAAGAATGAAATTGGCCTAAAATAGACTCAGAGGGTGAAATCTCTAATGCAGAAATTGAACCCACACCACCAATTCCATAGGTTTTCCAACAAATTTCACATTATTGGCGTCATTACCTTCAGAAAAAGATTCTCTACCATTTCAGAGGATTTTTTTTTCTTTTAATTAAAGTTAGCTCTCTTTAAATTTTGGTGTCCCAATAGTGAATGGGTTAAGACACTTCATAATATTTACTATAAGTTATATGGTGAATTAGCATCTGCAGATCAAGATTGGTAAAGAATTTTTTTTGAACAAACTTACTTTGTGGAAAATTTTAATGCAGCTACAGAGTAAATTTATAATGGTGATACATGTATAAGCAAGTTTATGGTAGATGTACAAAATATTCTCTGTACTCGATTCTAGAGAGAAGGTCACTCTGTTAACCTGTGCAAATGCAGGAGGTATACAACAGAATAACCTGCTTGTAACTGGTAAGAGTAAAAACCAAAGGATTATAAAGTGTGTCAACATAGTCCTTTATTTCTGACACAAAACTAGAAAGGCTGGATCACTGCACAAGAATCCACTGGGTTATGATATCAAGCACATTTTGTGCCTGAAGTCAAGTAGCATTGCAAGCAAACCTTAACTCCTCTAAATCCACAAGATTACTTTACTGCTTCACAAATCTTGCTCTGAGGATACCCTTTTTTTTTTCCAACATGACACCTAACTGTACATATGTGATCCAGTTTATGGGTTATAAAATACTGTAGTTAACAATTTAAAGGTCATCTGTCACAACTGTATCAAATAAGTTTTCAAATTTTAATGAAAGTTATAGTTACGAAACATTGTCCTTTAAGGGGGGGGTTACCTTGATGCTGTTGAAGGGCTCTTGATCCAAGGACTGATTTTGATTATCTCCTATTCCCTAGGCTCTGTAGGACCTGT